CTATCATTCATACCTACTCCAGCCATATTAATCATAATTCTTCTGACATAGGACTCGTAAAGGCCAATCACATCACCTTCTCTTGACCTTGATTCTATTCCTACTTTATAAGCCATATACACATAACCTAATTGCTCGGTTAGAGTCTGATTTCTTTCTCTCCAGGCTAGCCAGAAAACAAAAATAAGAATATCTTCCTCCTTTCTCTTTCAGTAAGACCTGGTGTAGGGGCCTTCAACTTCGGGGCAAAGATTTCAAATAGTCATTACAATGTCAATTCATTTTCGTCCCTACCCCTTACCTCTAACCTTACCTACGTCCCTACCTCTAACAAGAGGAGGAACAAAACATCACCATCATCTTTGCCAAACTAGAGAAACCAGAGGCTGCCTTCTCTAAGGGCTGACACAAACATATCCACACTTATGGCTACATACATCAAAGAGAAAAATGAGGGCATCTTCCTAAAACTAGTTGTAGTATATAATGCAGCAGGAAAACAGTAGTGTGCTGCCCCCTGAAGGAAATAACTTCAGGATTCATTTTAAAAAGTGTGTAAGACAAAGAAAAAATAAGAAGAAATAAGTCAGAAAATAAAGCTAATGGAAGGATGGTAACATGACTTAAGAGTTCCTTGATTTCCTCAGTTCCACTGACCTTCATCTCCATTCCAGATCAGCCATATTGTGAACCTCATTATCACAGTAGGAGGAAATATAATTTTCTAAAATAGAGATGGGGAAAGGAGAATTGGGGTCTGAGGATAGGTCTGGAATAGCCATAATGGGAATATTAGAGATACGATGAAAATTAATTTTAAAGTTGACAAGTAGCACAGAAAGCCAATCTGAAGTTGGACTACAGTAATCTTTAATAGATCAAGACTGTTTTGAAAGAAAAAAGAAGTAGACTGCAAAGGGGTGATAATAGTTTGAGGGTTCATGTGATGAGGACAGTATTGAAGTAGTCCATCATAGTATCTAGAGTAAGAAAGTGGTCTTGTAACTAGGAGTCAGCCAAATGTACAGGGCAAAATTACCATTAAGGAATAGAAAGACTAGAGGTGAGCAGTTTAGAACAATGAGATTGATAACAGGTAAAGACACTGTGTTTGGAGGGAGAATATAGCCTGTGATACTGAGTTCCAGGTTAGAGATCGGCTGTTTGGAGTGACCAGTATAGAGTGGAAATGAGGGTTCGGGGAGTCAAGGAGAAAAAGGAACTTTGAATTCAAAGAGGCTGAAAGTTGTCAATATGGACTTTGAACGTAGGCTAGGTGCTGGAGCTTCTAAAAGGGTGGAATGGGTCCATGAGGGACAATAGACCACAGGATGATTTGAAGAGGACGGCCTAGATTAATGGCAAGTGACAAGTGGAGAATAGCATGTTGTTTCAATGGTCCAGAAATGGTAGCAGGTGCTTACCTCTACCTTGGCCATTGAATCAGGAACATGAGAGAAAGTGAAGCCTCAATATGAGAGGATAGTCGTCAAGGGAAGAGCCAGGTTTCTGTTAGGGAAAAGCAAAGAGGTGAAGTGCAAACATACAGACACTAAGATATACCAATGTGTAAGTACAACAGTAGTGTACATATGACCCCATCATTGTAAATGTACTGTTTAAGGTATGGTCTTCCTCCTCTTTCTCTACTTATCTCCCTTCCCATGCAACAGTACCCCACAGATTCTTTTCATATTCCCCCTACCTCTTCCTCCACTATACAACCTTCTTCCATATTTTCAAAACTATCATGTTCTATATGTCAAATAAGTGAGCCTTGGCTCCCGGTCCTAGCACAAATGGGGAAGCTTAGGTGAATGATACAGTGGATAGAAGGAGGGTCTAGAGTCAGGAAGACTCGTCTTCCTGAGTTCAAATCTGGCCTCAGACACTTATTAGGTGTGTGACCCTGGGCAAGTCTCTTAACCCTGTTTGCCTCAGTTTCCTCATCTGTAAAATGAGCTGGAGAAGGAAACAACAATAAATGGTGATTATTCTGTTCCCTGCACCCCAATTTCTCTCTTAACATGTCCTTTGTTGTTGTTATTCAGTCATTTCATTCATGTCCAACTCTTCAAAACTCCATTTGGAGTTTTCTTTGCAAAGATATTGGAGCACTTTGCCATTTCCTTCTCTAGTTCATTTTACAGATGAGGAACTGAGACAAAGAGGGTTAAGTGACTTGCCCAGGGTCACACAGCTAGTAAGTGTCTAAGGCCAGATGTGAACTCAGGAAGATGAGTCTTCCTGTCTTCAGGTCCAGCACTCTATCCACTGGGCTACTTAGCTGCCCCTAATATGCCCTAGGGGCAGGGATTTTTCCAAGGAAGCCTGACAATTCACACAGCTTCTCCCATCTGTAGCATGTAAACAGCCTGTACACAGAGGCTTTGAAATGCCATGTAATCACCTCCTCGGCTTCCTGTATGCATTCACAACTGGCACCACTAGAGAAGACTACCCTAAGGGCTTAGTATTTTGTGGTAATTGTCATCCTACAGGTGTAGGCCTGATTGTAATTCCTGTTGGGGTCTGATCTTGATCCTAAGCTTCTCTTAGAATGTGTAAGTTATAGCAGTATTGAGAAAAATGGCAGTCTTGGCCTACTAAGCTATTTTCCCTGAGCCAAACACTAGCCTAGAGTACCATTATGGTTGACAAATATCATGATAGAGGACTAGGGATTGATGACTCTGTTTTATCCAATGTGCAGCCACATTACCACTTTAGGGGAAGAGAGGGAGAGAGGGGTACAATTGGCAGTGATTTAATTCCCTCATTAGCAACCCGTAACTTGTTAGAACTATGGCAGTGGGTGGATGGCCCACAGAGAAAGCAGTGGCTACTCAGTGAAGGTTCCCAGCCCTCTACAAACAGCTATAACTGGTGCCGCACCATGGGGACAGCAGCAACAACAGGTATAGTGGCCCCTGACCTGTGTCTCCTGGACTCCGGCCCTTCTTGATCTTTATGCCTCATCTACTCTGTGTTTTTCACCACTTGCTTTTCCATGTGTACAGAGTTTCTGTCTCTAGATGCCTGGGTCTGCTTCCTCCTGGGAGAGGTTTGGAAAGTGTCTGCCCATGAGACAGGATTTTAGATGAGGCTGAGATATTAGGAGATTGAGGTGGACCATAAGTTTGTGATCTGCAAAATTTAATAGGATTTGAGATGTGGTCCTGAAGCCAAAATGTATGGCTCCTCTTATGGTAAAAGCTCACTAGATTTGGATATGGTCCTGAGATCAGTCCTTTTTATATATGAAGCTTCTGGAGCTGATAATATATTAAATACTCATCTCTGGTTTAAGATACTAAGATCAATAATACTGAACAAAAATGAATGAAATAAAAATGGTCTCAGTCCTTTTAGATAAATTGCATACAACTTGTCGCAGTGAGGCAGTTTTGGTATGCTCAGTACAAAAATGAGGCCAAAAAGGACCACATATAAAACATTCAGTGACTTTCTCAATCTTCCCAACTATATTCTTGCCCATCCTAGGCCCCTGCCAGCTCTGCCTAGTAAATCCTCTATCCTTCAAGGTGTTTCTGCTTCATCTAGATCCTCTTCCTACATCCCACCCACTAACCTGATCCCAAAATAGCTTTAGGGGTGACAAATAGTATTCCCAAATCACTTGGTTAAAAATGGACTATCCCAAACTCTACCCAAATTACCCTGGAATCCCAATTTCATCTCAGGTCCTCCAGACCCTCACAGTAGATTCCTGTCCCCCGTAGAATCTTTTCCTTGATTATTCTGTAAAGGAGTCATGATGTAGTAGAAGGAATAGTCGACTTGGAGTCAGAAGACCGCAACTGGAATGGAGGCTGTAGTCCTGCTCTGCTATTCACTAGCTTGTGGGACCCTGACTAGTTAGTTTACTTGTCTGAGCCTTCATTTTCTCATCTGTAAAATGGAGGATGAAATGACCTCATCCATATCTTGTGTTTTGTAAGGATGAAGCACTATATAAATGTCAACTCTCAGCTTTTTGTTTGTTTGTCTTATTGAGGCCCTGTGTCAACTCTTGGCATTTTTGTTTTGCTTTATTGATGCCCTTTGTTTTTTTACACCATTTTTTGCATCATTTCCTGATACAGATTCCATACCTCTCCCCCGCCTAAATTGAATTTTATCTTATAAGAAAAATATTGGTATTGTTTTATCAGCTGTCCAAGTAGTAGAAGGCTAGGAATTCAATTTCCTACTTAAAAGATACTCTGAGTGCTTGGTAATGATAACTGACATTTATAGTGCATATAACATTTTACATATATATATTGATGCAGCATTTTACATATATTATCTTGTTTTATGCTTACAACCCTGGAAGATAAGCACTAGGGGCATTTCATCCCCATTTTACAGATGAGGAACCTAAGGGTTGGAAAATTTAAGCAACTTGCCCAAGGTCACAGAGCAGGTAAATGTCAGAGATGGGGTTGAAACCCAGGTCTCACCTGGCACTAAGTCCAACATTCATTCTCTAGGGCACACTGCCTCTCATGGCAAGTAAGCAGAGGTAATCAGAACAGGCTGGAAGCCAGATTTGAATGTCTTATGTTCTGAGGCAATATTAGAGGCTTCTAGGGTGTGTATAGTTACAGTTTTACATTTTGAGCAAAGCACAAAAGCAGGAAAAAAAACATTCTTGTTCATTTTTAGGGGCAGATTTTTGGTGCCTTTTTGGCCTTCACTAAGTTATATTCATCTGTCTGTCAGATATTCATTTCCTGCTGATTTTTGCCTCCTGCCAGGCATTTCTCTATGTGGGCATTTCGTTTAGTGTCCATTGCATTTGCTATTAAGAGCTACATGGCCTTACTTGTCCCTACCCTGTAGTAAGAGTTAGAGGGGCCTGAAATCAGTTTACAAAGGGGAGAAGGGAAAACAAAGAAATCATGGGGATATGACAAATAGCCTCTGAAAAGCTGGCTTTTGACTGGGAAACCTAAGTGTGACCTAAATATATTGTTTCTGTCTCTGCTGCACAGGTTAGCCAGGAGAGTCTGGACCAAGAGGTAGTGCAAGTGAGTATGGGCTAGCCTTGTTCCCTCTCTTTCCATCCCTTTCTCCTCTTTCCTCATATTTCTCCCATCTCTCCATTTCATAAATGAGGTTTAGTTTCTCTCTTCCTGCTTACAAAATACACTATAGAGGCCAAGTCCATGCTGAATGAAAAAAGGCCTCACTTCAACCTGTCACCCTAATCCCATTATTCTTTTTCTAAAACCAATACATTTCAGGAACTATACTTTAAATGTGGCTAGTCCTCTGTGAGAAGCTGTTATTTGAGGGAATTGAGTTGGGAAGAGGTTAGCAAATCAGAGAAATCACTACCTTAAAAGCAGCTGTCAATTTCTACACCCAGTGGTGGAGTGTGAAAGGATGGAGCTGCACATCCCCTTCTCCCCTGGCCACTTTAACAGCAACAACTTTTCCCTCCACAGTTTCTCCTCTCCTGCCCCCCCTCCCCAAATAATCTAGACCATTTCTCCCATTCCTCCTTAGGATCTAATCCTGGAGCATTAACTTGGACACAAATACTTATACCACAGGCTGACAGTAAGCTGTCCAGGGTCAAACTGTGTCTGCAAAGCAAGTGGTACAAATCCCCGTGACGTCAGTCCACTTACTGGTGTCCAGAAGTGTCAGGCCATTCTTGTACCTCCCTACCACCTAGAAAAATATGAAACTACAGATTCCTACATAGGCTTCAAGAAAAATGTTGACTTCCCTCTGAGATAGCTTCATTCTTCTCCAGTCTCATCCTTTCTTCATTTTTAACTAAAGACCTCGACTCTAGTTCCTTCTCCCAAATGATACAATTTCATGGCTGCTTAACTAATACAAAAGGAAGTGGAATCAGATTAAGATGCCAGGGAACAGTAAACAGAGGCATAATTCTTGAAGCACAGGTTCTTCAGGGGGAGCCATGATATCTTCTCCTTGATTTCTCCCCATAATCATCTTTCTAGGTTACAGTTTTTCAGGGCTAATTGTTCAAGTCTTCCAGGCCAGTCTGGTATCCATTGTGGTAGCCAGAGCTACCACAACAGGATAAGGAAAGAATTGCTCAGCCCCAAAAACTATAACCAATGAACACCTCGGGAGGGGATGGAGGAGGAAGACAGTATTGCAATCACAAACTCTCCAGTGACTTTTTTTCCTGTTGTGGGTCAAACTCTAATTCTCCTCCTGAGCATCTCCCCTCTTACTACCTCCTCTTCCCTAATTCTTATGTAGTTTCTTTTGTTTATAGGGCATCTCACAAAGCCTAGCTCTGCAACAAAGACTGATTAGATACAAAAAGATCAGCTTAGTATCCAAAGGAAAAGCAATCCTTTCTTCTTCTGAGATAATGACCTTTGAGTAGCTCTTCCATGTATCTACTCTCTTTAAGGAAGTCCTCTCTTGCTTTTCCTGCTGGTAACTTGGGAATAACAAACCTGACTTCCCTAAAGAACAGATGAGAATACATAGACTCCCAGAGATGAGAAAGCCCTCAGAGACCATCTCATCTAACTCATTTATTTTACAGAGGAGCAGACAGAGGCCCTAGAAATGAGGTGACTCACCCATGGTCACACAGATAGCCAGTGGCAGAGCAGGCATTACAGTCAAAGTCCCCTGATCCCCAGGGAAGGGGGCTTTCCGTAAGTGGTCAGCTAGGACAGAATCCCAGCCCAGGGGACTTGCTCTTCACCAATCTCTCTATCTGGTAGGATTTGTAAGAGAATCCTGCTTACCATAGTTTGTTCATTTGTAACACAGACTCTTAGTAACTGAGTTATTGATACCTTGTATCACATGAAATATCCTTCAGTTTCTGCTCTTTTCCTAATTCATAGGCAATGCTGCTTTCCCTTCCTGATATTTCCAGATGCTTTTCCCTCCTCTCCCATCCCCTCTTCCAGACCCTTTTGTCTGTATCTTTAGTAGACTCCATTTGATACCTCTCATCTCGTAGACTCACAGAGCTGGAAGGCAAGTAAGCTGACCAGTATTGTAAGATAAAAAGACATCACAACCCTGGCCTTTTCCCCTCGAAAACATGCCCTATACCTGAAGCCTGAACATGACCTTGAAAGGTGCCCCAAAAGACACTCCTTCCCTCTCCCTGCCCCTTCCCCCACACATGAGGGGAACAGTGTTCCCCTGCCTTAGAAGAGTACCAGAAATAATTTGCCCAACCCTTCTTAAGATACACTGTGCTTTTAAGATAAGGATCTCAGCAGCTTGGGACCCACATAGATTACTCTCTTGATAACAAACCCTAACAACATATGCCCAGAACCCATTGCAAGAAAGAACGTATATCTCTCTTTTTACTAACAGTAGATCTGTCCTGCAGAGACTCGGAGGACAACAGAGCAAGCTGGCATTGACATGATGAAGGCAGAGCCTTCCCCCAGAGGCACCTTCCCATCCATCATCTTCCCAGTGCACACCTGGACCAAGCCTGCAGTCTGCCTGTCACCACAGCGCCAGGACAAGAAGAGCCAATGATGATGGGAGGAGGGTAGGGGCTGCCAGAGGGTCCTCCTGGTGGGCCCTTCCCTCTCAGATTCCTGCATGTACTAGCATCATCACCACTCCCCTCAGGGCATGGGCTCATCTCTGCAACAAGGAACAAAGAAAAAGAAAGAAAGAAAAAAAGCGCTTATTCTGTGTCAGTGACCTGGGTTTCTTTCTGACTTGCTGCTAAAATGTGGGTGATTTCCCAGGGCGGGGGACACTGTTTTCGCACATGACCTTTGACCTTAAAAAAACCACACCAGCAGGTTTTCTTCTATCACACAGAGAAAGCTTCAGGCCCGTACTCAGCTTTATAGACACCCTTACCCAGGCCACATGCTAAAAATAGTCTTGCCTCTCACTATTGGGTTTCCGCTACATTTGACATTGCATGCTCTGTAACCTGGGGAAAGAAAGTGCTCACTGCTATGGCTTCATAGAGTCCAAACCATTTCCTATACCGGGAATACAAGCAAGTATATTGTAGGCCAGGGAGGATGTGGACGGGAGCAATGTGCCCTGTCTGGTTTTCCCTGGAGGCCATTTGGTGAAGCCATGCTCTGCCTTTCATTGTGCTTAAATAGTTCCTTGGCATACATGATAATCAGTTCCAATTCTTGGTGATTTTTTTTTCATTTTTTTCCCTCCTTTTTGGGCTCCAGTGTGTTATTTTTAGAAGGAGAGCTGCTATAAATATTTATAAAGGGCAGTGGCTGGAATGAAGTAACAGACTCCACAGCTGGCTCCCTGCATACTCTCTGCCTCAGCTGACCTCTAGCCTCTGCCTGAAGAGCCCAGGAAGGCCTGTGAACTGGGCCCCGTGGCTACAAATGGTTTCCTATGGAAACAAGTAGAGTCTGTCAGGCTGGAACAGAAATATTTATGGACAACAGATTGTTTACATCCCCATCTACCCTGTCATCTCTCCTTTTCTACTACCCTTAAGGAATCTAGGAATGGAAATCATGGACACTTTTAGGCTGAGACATTTAGCATTTCTTTGAGGCCTGGATGTGAAGGAGAAAGGGCCAGAAAAAGAGCTGAATCATTATTAAAGGGCAAGAAGGAAAATGGGAGATGAGGAGGATAGCTACTTTCCCAGGGTTTAGGGGCTCTTGGAATTCCAAATCAAATAGCATGTGCTCAGGACAGCACAGTACCCCCCCCCGCCCCCATCATTGTGACTTGGGCCTTGAGGAGTCCCAAATGATGTGAGAGAGAGCCTCAAAGAGAGCTATGGAGCTAGGATGTCAGGTCTCAAATGGTTGTCTCTGAGGCCTACTCTGTTCATTACAAGGTCACCTAGCCTCTGCAAAGTTGCCTGAGGTCTCCAGAAACATTAAGGGTTTTGCCTTTTGCTTACCACAGGGAGCCATTTTTGACCAACTTTCTTCCAGTGTTTGGGTTGGGGGGGTGGGAATGACAGGCCACAAGCAGGAAACAACACACTCAACATCAAAGGCTCAAAGAAACTACTACCCCTAAGAAAATCCCCCTTCTTACATTTACAGTGTCCTGAGGATAAGACATAAGGGTCAGTGATGAAGTATGGGGCCAGTAATGTGGTAGACTATATTTTCTATTTTTGTATAAATTATTGTTTAATTTCCCAGACTAATTTATTTTCTAACACTTCAGATAAAGGTAGTAGTTCTCATAGACCTCTACCTCCAGTCCATGGCCCAGTCAGCACGTGGCTTTAATTTTTTTTCAGGACACCTACAAATCAGCAGCAGAGGACGTGATCCTCCCAAAATGACCCCATACTCAGGCTGCCCCACTTTCTTTTCAAACCAGGTTTGGAAGACAGTGAATTGACAAGCTGAAGTTTCCCCCATCATAAAATGGAAGCACATAACTTTCTTGTCTACCTCAAACAGTTATTGATTAGGTCAGATGAGATAATGGATGGGAAAATGCTTGGCAATGTCCAAGATGTTATATGAATATAAGGTACTGTCACATTATGACATTTTTTCAGTGGATCCTAGAGTACATTCTTATCCCAGTTCTTATGGAGATTGGAAGTGTAAGCCTCCTTACTAATTGTTTTAGGATCATTTAAATACCTGATTTGGACATGAGGAGCATTGACTTTGGCAAAATTGGCATACACACATACTATTAACCTTAGAGCATTTGCTTAAAGAGTAGGGACTCCAGCCTTAGTGGTACCTCTCAGTAGGTGAACATCAGAGTCTTTAAGAAGCAAGCACTGGCCACAGTAGTGTTTCGACCAATAAAAACCCATTTACAATATTTTGGTGTCAGAATGTCATCTGACATTAAAGGGTCACCAAGCCAATCCATCCATGAACAACTAATCACTCCTACAGCATCCCTTCCACCCATCCTCTGCTTGAAGACCTCCACTGAAGGAACCTATGACTACCTAAAGTTACCTATTCTACTCTTGGAGAGCTCTAATTATTCAGAGATTTTTCCTTCAATAATAAGAGCTCACATTAATATAGCACTTTGAAGGTTACAAATAGCTTTAATGAGCATCATTTGATTTGATCCTTATACCAAGCCTAAATCTGCAGCTCTGCAGCTTCAAATAGTTGTTCCCAAGTCTGTCATCTGGTGCCAAGAGAAAAAAGACCAATATCCCTTCTGTATGATAGCTTTTCAATTACTGGAAGACAGCTATCCAATTGCTACTCCCTTCCCCACCAGTCTTCTCTCTAGGCTAAACATCCACAGCTCCTTCTGCTGATTCTTATATGACATGGTCCCCAGGCCACGAACTAAGGACCAGAGAAAGAGATTGTGATTTGCCCAAGGTCATACATTAGCAGAGCCAGGATTTGAACCCAGGTTCTCAGACTCTTTTTACTGTACCACATTCTCCTCATTTCCATTATGCCAAGGTAGAAACCAATAAATCATCCTTCTCTATGGAGAATTTTTCTGGTGATAATGTGTAAAAACTTTGCAAACCTTAAAGCACTGCATGTGTCAATTATGTTTGTTATTTTCATGCTGGTCACTCTACCCTAGAGTGGCTTCTTCCTGTGATTCCATTTGTTCTTATAGCCTACCCAGCTGGTTCGTCTTTCAACCATAGATATAGACTCAGATGAAAGCTGCTGCCCCTCCTTGCTTACTCCATGCCATATAATCACTGGCAAGTTATCCATTACAGTAAAGTGGGTGTTAGCTCAACATTAGGACAATACAATTAGAGCTGTCCAAAACTGAAATGAACTCCCTTAGAAGGATGCTCTCTGTCACTTTCTGGTAGGGCTTTTAAATCATTTGTCAGGCTGTAAGTGTATGCTCCCTCTCAGTTCTGGATTGGACTGAATGATGGTTGAAGTCCCTTCCGTCTCTGAGATGCTATGATTTTAAGCCATACCTGCCTAGAGAATGGATATGGTCCTCCCTTATACCTGCTGCACTCTCTGGTATTGGGATGTTTTTGTTTATACAGGTAAGACTGGCTTCAAAGCAATCACGCAGCTAACTTAGCCTATTTGAGTGCCAGATGAGCCCCTGGGCAAGAAGGGGTTCAGCTAATAGGCAGGTCAGTCTGGGTTAGAGGAAACCTTCCCTACCAGAGCCCACGCAGATATTCTCCCTGTGCCTGTATTAGACAAAGCTGCAATCTATGAGCAGTTGATGCTGTGTATGAAAAGGTGGGTCCTAGGGTGAATAAATAATATAATACGCTTGTAAAAATGAGACCCTTCACCCCCACCTCCAGCCTGACCCCTGAAGAGATGGAAGAATTCTATCCAGTCAGGTAGGAAAGTGCTAGGAAAAGAAACTATCTACAGGAGGAAGAAAAGAAAGAAGGGAGTGCCAAAATCACATCACTATACCTTGTGTGCCTGAGAATTCTGGACACAATAGGCTTGGGCTGGTGCCTATAACCTAAATACCTCTTTATATGCTAGCCATTAATTCAACATTCAATTCAATAGACATTGACTAAATATCTCTGGTAAGAAATGGGCACAGCATAGTGACCTCCATTTGCTGCTCATAGAAGATTTTCTTAAGTGAAGTCTATCAGGCTGAGTGTGAGCAGTACAGGGATCCAGAACCTTAGTAAGTAGATGGTGTTATTTTGCTGATGTTAGAAAAGGCTATTTTGCCTGTTTTAGAGAAAGTATGGCAAAATGGATGAAGAGCTGCCCTCAAAACCAGAAAGACCTGAGTTCTAGTCCTCCCTCTGACACCTATGTGGCCATGTGATCCTTGGTAAGGTACAACCACTCAGTCTTATAAGCAATTCTCTAAGTAAATATCAGCTTCAGTAAAGGTGCCAACCTGCATTGGAGTTTTCTCACCCAAAAGTTTCCTATACTTGAAATCACAGGTCCTGTCCTCATCTATAAATGAATAGGAATATTCTATTGCACAATGTATCTTAGTTCTAGGAGGCTTCATCCCCCAACTTGAGTTAGGGTATATTCCCAAGATAGTGTTCAGGTCTCTATAGGCTATATGCCAGCATGCCAGTTTACATGACAACTATTCTTCAAAGATAGGGAGGGTACAGATGCTTCTGGTTGAATTAGGGAGTAATGTTTGAGAAAAAAATGGATCTCTGCCCACGAGGATTATGTAAGCTAAGTGGTGCCGCTTAGGACAAGACAAAAGTGAAGGTTTGCAGCTCATAGGCTCAAATACTGGTGTAGTCTCAGTCTAGATTATCAAAGTTTTTCTGGAACCCTGAGTGAGATAAAGAGCTTGGATGCAGTGGGACTACATCAGAGTACAGGATAAACCCATTATAATCCCCACTGTAGCCCAGAAATGCTTTAGCTAATGAGTTTATTGAAATTCAAAATTAATCAGAGCCCAAATGAAGAAACCAGCAACCAGTCTCCAAGCCTAGATCAGGAATTTCTACTGTAACTAAGAAAAAGTCTCAACTGGTTGAGGGAAAACTCCTAAGTGACAATTATATTACTCTCCCAGTGATTCACAGGCATTTTATTTAACTAGAGGCAATGTGGTATAGTGGAAACAGTATTGGATTTGAAGTTAAAAGATCTGGGTCCAAATCCTGATTCTGCCACTTATTACCTATATGAGCTTGAGTAACTCTTTACCTTTTTGTGCTTATTTCCTCATCTATAAAATGAGGATGGATTAGATGACCTTTAAAGTCCCTTGCAGCTCAAAAATCCTACGATTCTATAAAGCTTAACACCCTTGGGTGGCTATCAGACAAGAATACCACTAGGTTTCAGGTAGGGAGCACAGTGGCTTCTTCCATAAAGAGCTAAAGTCCCATTGTTTAGGCCAGTTAGGTGCTTATCATTTTATTGCTTGGTCAAGACCTTAGACTCAGCACCACCTAGGTAGAATTGAGCCCCTAGGCTAGAGGTGCTCAATGTCTCTAATAAAGTTTATTCCTCTCTGAGAATCTAGATTCTGTATCAGTCCTCTTAGCCTTTAGCAATGGCTATAGCCAGCTCCATGACCTCATTCTTTCAAATTGTGCTCTTCTCCACAAGGAAGGTTTCCATAATAATAGTTCTTTCCCCTTATCCTGCTCCTTCTCCCAAAGAAGCCTTTTATTCTGTGTCCTGGAAGGAAGGCCTCTAAAGGGTCATCTCTCTACCTGAATTCACTGACTTCCCTTTAATCCTTATCTCTCAGCTGTTCTAAATCCTTTCTAAAAAACCAACCTTTTGGCTCTCTCAGCATAGGATAATGGCAAAAGTCCAGGAGTCAGAGTCAGAAGACTTGGGCTCTTCTTTTTGCTACCTTTAAGACCTTGGTAAAGTCCAAACATCTCTGGGCCTCAGTTTCCTATCTATAAAATGAGGCCTGGACTGGATGATTTCTAAGTTCCCTTCCAGATCTAAAGTCTATGCTCCCCACTATTTTACATGGTAATAATCATGAGGTGATGATGAAAATCTTGTCTTTCATTTACTCAGCCTCCCCAGCCCTACAACAGTCACTGGGCTTTTACTCTGGCCTTCATTTACCCTTTCTCCCCACATTTTCTCTCTCTTTAATTTCATTCCCATCTTATTCCATTCTTCTTTAATGTCCTAAAATAAGGGATCTCTTGGAATAACTTCCATGTGTTAAGAGGGGAACAGTGTGGAAGGGAAGGGTCAGGTTAGAACTAAAAGGATGGGGAACTAAGGAAACTAAATGATTCAAGGGAATATACTTGTGAGCCTGATAATGGTTTTCACCCTGAGGGGTGAAATGAGCTGATCAGAATCATAGAATGGTAACTAAAGCTAGAAGAGGCTTTAGAAATCATGTCACTCAACCCTTTCATGTTATTTATAAGAAAAATGAGGCGCTGAGAAATTAAGTGGGCTACTCAAAGTCCCACTACCAAGTACCTTGCAGAGCTGGGACTCAAACCTAGGTCTTCTGCCTCCAAGTACAGGGCTCCGAGGGCTATGATAAATCACACCAAGCTGGGCTTGATGACCAAACTTTAAGAGTATGAGGTCCAAAGTGACAGAGCCCATGCAGTTTTCATATTTCGAAGTACAATCAGGTCCTCAGTTTCTTCTGGACCAACTATACATTCTTCACAATTAGTATTAGGGTGAGAAGCCTGTGAAGACCTAGACAGTGATTAGACCAGGGTTGGCTAAATGTCAGCTTTCTTCCTTGGCCTTCTTTCATTATTTTGACTTGCCTTGTCTCTACAACATATGGTCATAGGACTGGGAGGGACTCTAAGGATCTTCTAGTTCAATCTCTTCATTTTACAAATGAGAAAACTGAGGTCCAGAGTGATTCAGGAAATTGCCTAAGATTGTAGAGATGAGGTTTTGAACATGAATCCTCAGGCTAAGATATGGTAATGATTCCAGGTAGACTCCTCAAGCCCCAGACTCTTTGGTCCTTCCTAGTCCCAAAAGCTTGCCTAGGCAAGGGAGTAAGGAGCTGTCCAGGGTGTCTAGGAAGAAATAGGCAGAATCCAGGCAGCAGGGACTACCCATCACAGGAAGTAACTATCCTGAAGAAGGAAGTTTCTAGCTAATCTCTACCTCTCCTCCGTGGGACTTTTTTTTTTAAAGGAACTTGGGTTCCCTATCAGTTATGCTTGCTACCTTTTCCCTCACCAGAATCCCTGTTATATCCATTTCAGTGAACCCAAATCCTCTTTTCCTTCCCATATGGTCAATCAATCAATTTATTTATTAAAAGCTAAGCACTAATGGCTAAAGAACAGACAAAGAGAATAGTAAAGAAGAGAGCTAAAGGCAGTTGGGTGGTGGGGAAGGGGCTAAACTACAATGGAGTGTGAAGAAGAAGATAGAAGAGCATGGAAGAGTAGGAAGATTATAAAAGGAAAGGACTGTTGGACATCGTAGGAGGAGTTCAAAGAAGAAATTATTTGATCCTTGGAGGTCTTTCAATCAGACTGAAAATGTGAGGCTAGTACAAGAGTAGAATGAAGAAACAAGCATTTATTAAATGCCTACTATGTGCCAGGCATTGTGCGAAGAGCCTTACAAATATCACATTTAATCTTAAAAAAAAAGTGGGAGGCAAGTGCTATTGTTAACCTCATCTTATAGTTGAAGAAACTGAGGTAGACAGAGGTTACATGACTTGCAGGGTCACACAGCCAGTAAGCATCTAAGTCAAGATTTGAGCTCAAGTCTTCCTGACTCTAGACTCAGTGCTGGACCTAGTTGCCTTTACGGTGATGAAAAGAGGTGGTAGCCAGGGAAAAAGTAGGCAGGAAAGAAAGCAGAATAGAGTAGAAACTCCATGGCCTGTCCCTGATCCTGAAGTCCAGGTGCTTTATGCTGCCCTTTATGTTTGTCCCTAATTACACCTTCCATTGTTTCCACCATCCTAGAACCTGGATTAGCACATATGTACATGGAACTGCAGATGGCTTAATCTCAGGGTCTGTAACCACAAATGTTTGTTCCTGCCCCAATTCCATCC